GGCGGTGACCTGTACAATCATGTACGTGGCGGAAGGGTGGCTACACAGTCCCGTGATGGTGGAAAGTACAACATGGCCAGTGATCCTATGGGTTACTCGTCCTTTGTGCCCCAGGCGACAAGAGAAGACTGACACCATGGAGATTCAGCGGGACGGTACATCTGCATACATCTGTTGCAGGTGTCTAGGGGTTCAAAAAATTGAAATATCACCCAATGAAGATTATCTCGTATACTCTTACAAGCGCATCTAAAGAATGTTGAGCCAGCTCTGGATCGAAGTCAGACAATTTATCCGACGAAATTTCTGTTACGCCACATTTTGTTGAATTTCCTCTCGTTTCTGAGTTGCGAACACCCGCATGTTGGTTTATTCATTTTGATTTACCCCAACTGTTGCAGACTTCAATGACCTTGTGAAAGTTTGATCCAGTCAATACGTCATTCAGTCGGGAGTAAAGATCAGAGGGTGTGGTCCCATATGGCCCATTCGCTTTCTGTGCTAGCCAAAGATTATCCAACAAATGAAGGTAAGGGACAAATCAGAGAAGACCGGATAAGTCGTACAAACCCATAAGATGGCTTGACGCTTCCTTTTTGACCGATACAATGACCGACGCCCGGCCCATCAGACGTTTGAAGATCGGATGACATGAAGTTGCGGCACCATGTGGCGTGGACCGACAGATTCCGGAGCTGAGCTTTCCAGACGGAACGGGGTTCGAAATCGTGCTCTGAATGACAGAAAAGAAAAATCTCTATACCGGACAGTGTTAGCGCTTTGCACTGGTAATAAATCATTCACTTCTCGGATTGTTACTGTTTGATAATAAGGCAGGTCATTAGAACTTCATTCCATCTTGAACAGTTGTTTAGTTGGGCTGTCGGACAATATCATTAGAACCACTATACACAATTATCCCTCTCGAACATTTCCCACAGATTCTGCACCCAATTTTATGCAATGATGATGTGAATATCTTAATCTTATCACAGTCGATGTTGAAGTGTAAATTGTCTCTCAAAATCCACGCTGTCGTACGAGAAAGAATGCTTCCAGTTACATACTTGTTGATACTTGTTTATTTAACCTCCACTCTTTGTCGTAAATGCAGGTAACTCCAAATGTCACATCCATCACACTTTAACACTCTGATCTTCTTGAGTTATTACATATCAGTCTATGCATGTACAGTAAGGTTCAAAGGAATACTTGTTCATAACGCCCTTAGTGAGGTAATTCGATAACCTATCTAATCAGAAAAAGTCATCGTCACCATTTCAATCATTCACGGTGGAACAGCTGTTGTCAATAGGCTCTCAGCCGGCAAGTGCAGTTTTAAATTCAAATAAACATGATGCAGAAGGGATGCAGAAGAGCCGTTCGAAGGTGTGGAAATACGAGTTTATTTGTGTTACTCAAGCGGAAGTTGTCGAAGGGGAGTGATTGGCTGGTTAGCACAGCATCAATGTTTTTACGTGACGCTTCTAGTCACACAGGGAGGGATGACGTAGTCCGACAGCGATCGCTTCGGCTGCTTAGAGTGCATCTTGGCGGATGACCTTGGAACAATCGGGTCGCACTCGGTAAATCACGGGGAACGGGTTGGCACGCCAAACCGTATCGATAGAATGAACCGAAGTTGTCCTTGTGCTTGGTTTCGCAGACTCTACTACAAAATGACGGGTAATCAGGCATTCTCTGAGACAGGTGCCGAATTGCCCGACCCACGTAGTCTGCGCCAAGTTCACAAAAGGAAGGATAGATAACGAAAGCAGGGTCGTGGATTGCTACCTTACCCCTACACTTTTGGTATTCAGCAAGTGCTATGTCATGAAAGTCCGATTTCTGAAAATAATCTCAGAATGCCGGTAACCTATTGAGACATTTAAGCCCTACCAAAATCGCATTAGGGAAGCTGTCAAGAATCCAGGACAGAAAAGTCAGCTTCTGGTCGAACACTGAGGCAGTCAATCAATTCAGTAATGGCAGACGAGTGTTCAAGTCTGCCACACAGGCAATGCCGAGGATGACGAGTGTTCACAAAACGCTGATCGGACAGCCTGGATCAATGTAAAATGTGCCCGTAATATACCATGAGGCCCCTTGTAACTTTTGCACTCGGTTATTATGGATAAAGATGTTGTGCTGTTTGCTGGGGCGCTGGAGCAGTGACAGCAGTTACATACAACATGCCACCGTTAAAACGAAGCCTGAACTGTGAAGGGTAAACTTTCTGTTTATTGTGACCTTTTTGGAGTTCTATCGCTTTTGAACGGTCACCTGATGTAGACAAGCAGTTTTGGGACTGACGAAATTTCTCTTCTTCCTTTTGCACTAGTCCGCCTTCAATGCCTCTATATGAATTCATCCTGGCACCTGTCTTCTTCCAGGGCCCTGGAAATAAACATTGCATCATCCGTGCAAATTTTATAAACCCTGATTTCCAGATACTTGGTTAGGTTTCGTTTATAGTGAATACTCACAAGGCTGTAGAAGTTTGTGTATTGACACGACCTCCTCGTCTTTCGTTGCGACTGTCTGTGGAGTTGTTTACCTTCCGAGTTAATGCAGTGTCAAAAAACGGAAGCATTTCGTTAGCTTCGCCTTCCGCAGTAAACTGGATCGCTGAATTAATTACATAGTAAGGTAAGGTAAGTAGGTAAGTAAGGTAAGTAAGGTAAGGTAATTACATAGTAAGGCATTTCCTTTGTAGTAGTAGTGAAAAGAGTAAAACCTTTTGCTGCCGAATGGTTTATTAGCAAACATCAACTAAGCAGTTACAAGTCATCAGGCAAGAAAGTAAACATCTCATATGCATATACACTTTAAAAACTGAAAAATTCTCACGTGGCCTCTTGAACTTTTCTGGATATTCCTTGACTATTACACAATGGTAAACGAACACTGTAAAGTAGTTTCCAGATTTCCACGATGGGCTCTACCTTCCATCAGATGCGGAAGTAGAGCTTGGCTACCAACCACAGAAGACTCGCATGGTTAATCAATAGTGCAATGGTAGCAGGTAAATCAATATTACAAAACTGTGACCAAACGAGTGTTAGTATTGCGGAAGTTATTCTTTTATGGATCTTAAAGTGTCATATTCAATTTCACGCATAAAATATCCCATTGCTACACCGTTTCTGGCTATAGGAGAGAGCCACTGAACAAATGCGTATCATAAAGCCAACTCTTCGACATTTAAGAACGATGAAGGTAGGGTGGCATTCTCCTAGCTAACAATGTCGCACATAAAATCAATATCTTCAAATATGGGTAAGTTGTTCATGTGGTTTGTGAGTAAGAGTATTCTTGACGACTGGAAATAGTAGGCTTGTTCAAAAAAGGGACTAGCAGTCTGGCCTATCAGAAGGGCATTGATTCGACTCAACGCTCTGTCATAAAAATCACTACCACGAGAGAGATTTTTATACTGAACATTGTTTTTGGAAACAAAGTTCTCAGACTGGGTCGTTGTCTTTGAATACAATGTAACGCTTCAGTTCGATGAAGAGTGAAATACAAACTATGCCGTTCCTAATTGACCCGTCATGAAACGCAGCGACCAATAGGATGACTGGTTTTTAGTAAACAGCTCATAATTAGGGTATACGAATCTGATGCAGATTAACAATATTGGATAAAACGGTCAGGGCTGAGAGTAATTGCAGAGACATTGCTGACATGATTTCACATCTACGTATTGCAGCGCCTTCATCTGAGTTTAGGGAAGATCAGACAGATCCAATCCTCGAAGGAACATTGCTGTGGAGTATCCGGCGCGATTTCTGGAATTCCGCTTCAGTTGATGAAGCCTTTCAACTAACTCTCGAACTGGAATTCTGCGTTTTGACGGTGAATTTTTGTTTCTTCTTGCTGGAATTGCGCTGTTTTTGGCTACATGCCTGCAGGTTTTCACCGTTTCTTGCCTCTTGCCCTTCAAGAAATGTACAAATTTCAATTGATTATATCATACCTCTAGGTATTCATGTATTGACTAAGGTTTATGATCGATTCTATGGAGCGATGTGGTGTATAGTGGTTTGCAAATTGACTCCGCTTCTGATTTACAGTTTGAGCAAGTTCTCATGAAATTGGTGCCCTGGGAACAGATAGTGCGTGATGTGGAGAAAATAGGATCAGCACCGTCATTACTCACAACAGTAAATAAGCAAGTTCAAAACTGAAAGTATAAGGGGATACTGGGAGCAGAGAGCGGGCCGTTGAATACTGCATACCTGACCCTTATCCTTCTTGATTCATTAACCATTGAACTTACCGCATATTGGAACCAGCTAAATGACTCTCGTGTAACTTTCCGTTAGTGGTCCTAATCATATTATAGGAGTTGCGTTTTTCCAATCGGATTTATTTCACTGCGACAATCTTCTGCGTCTCACACATATTACAAAACCGGGTCAAAAAATAATGAATTAAGCCGAGCTTAAACAAATTAAACGAAAGGATGACAGACTGTTGTTGATGCAGAGAGATCCAACTGCGGTCAAGTTATAACTTGAAACCTGGTGGTGACTAGAGTTCAAAATGGTCATTTGACAGTCAAATTTCAGATCCTGGAGGAGTTAGATTTTAGTGGTTGTTCTGTTTGCTGCACTGTGCAATTTGGATGTATTCGTTTCCTCACCAAATCGAGGTAACATCATCCCTGCGTAGAGATCTGATGGTACGTCATTGTGCTTCAGTGTGTAGGTTTCGAGTAATACCGTATATTGTAGTTCACAGTAAGTCAGAAGAACACGTGAGTATGGACACGGGTGTATTGAGTGCACGCGGCCAAACTGGTCCGCTTTCGTGGCAGGTAAGCAAAACATCTGAGTCACATATCCAGTCAACCCACAGCGCTCTCGCGAGCCAACCAATCAGCCACTCAAGTCACACGTCAGATCGATGGTGGTACGACGAACGGACACGCACACGCGCTACATCTCGGACACACCGAAGCAGCTACTACACTGTACTTGTACTCATGTATGCAGTTCTGACGCGGGGAGATGGACTCTGATTATGATCGGTCGTTTGGATGGTCGGTACCGCTCGTTGGACGGTTGGCTAGGTCGAAAGGCCAAAGGCCACGCGGAGTGTACTGAAGGCGCAAGGCTCAAAGGTCATCCTATCTATCAGCTAGCTAGTCAACAATCCGACAAACTGGACCGAACATCCAGCCTACCAGTCATAATCAGAGGCTACCCGCTGTAATCACAACACTGTTCAGCACCTACGCGCTGACGCAAATTAGCAGAACAAACAAACCGTTTGTAATCACCGCATTTCGACTCAGACAAATATGACACTGGTCTGATCGGTCATGTGCTTCGGGTAATTCACGGTTTGCTGTGACAACAGAGGTGAAATATTGGTAATCGATCAGGTGGCTGTTGATCTGTTCGCCGAGCTTGGCAATTGATTTGCAAACGTTTCGTCACCATTCGAGGAGACATCTTCAGTGCGCTGTTGGTTGAATAGTCCCCCTCTTCGTGCCTGCGTTTATATAGTTTACGAAGAGCAGCCTTTGCGCTGTTACCTGCTTGGATGGTTTGATCCTAATATGTGTTGCGTTGTGGTCGGTATTTCTTGCTTCCTACGGCCACACTGCTGTTGAAATTGCTGTTCATCGTTGTCTCCTCTGGTTGGCCAGTTCATGATCTGTATTGCCTCGTGGTCGGCTTCTCTGTTGGTTGGTTGGTTTGTGGTGTTTGAGATGAAATATGATAAGATGCTCGATATTGATCAACTTAATGTTGGGATCTGCAACGATGGGTTACCGGTGACAAGTTTAGTGGGGAAGATTTCATGACTGAGTGTAAATTCTTCCCATATAACACCAATACATCACAATGACAGATATTTATTAATTGAGTGTGCAGCCAATTGCTTATTGGGGGCCATATCTACCAAGTGTATTTCACCCAAAATGCGTTACCTTCACGGTCATAGGTGATTACTGCTCGTTCTTAACGGAGCAGTTATCAGTGTCAACGACTGCTCCCAATCTCCGCTGCTGTAGCTCCGTCAGTTCGAGATCGCTCACTGTTGTCACCATGGAAATCCGCGAACTGAGGTCACTGGCAAATGGTGTTCTGATTATAGATAGAAAATCATACTCTGTCCTCAATCAGAAAGCCCAAAAACGGTTTGACATCGTAGTCTTCACACGAACGGATTCTTCTCTCTGGAATTATGCCTGAAACTCCGCCAGCAACAACTGATAATAACTTTCACTCTCTAAGTCTCTTTCAACGGCGAAAGAACGAATTTGTCCATTTCGATAGGTTTACAAGTTCAGCACCATAGTTTCCTCAGTTCGCGTTACAATGTCTTAATAGTTTACGAATTCTCTCTATTACATGGTATGAACATTGCTATCCGAATACAATTTAATACTTTATAACTTTAAAATGCATCTGTTTGATCGTAAAAAGGTTAACAATGGAGATAGCCTGCCAAAGCAGACGGAAAACTCATACAGACATTCTTCCTGCTATACAGACATCAGTCAACCTCGCGCAGACTCCCTAGTTTTCACAAAGGTAAACATGAGTAGCATGTTCATAGCTAAGTCTCTTGTTGTGACTCGACCCATTTGACGACTATTACCACATCCACATTGCAGCCGCAGAGCGTGTCGTACCGCACTCATTAGATGATATCCACAGAGTTACTTTCATCCACAACAGAGCACTACACCTCAGTAACTAAAAGTAATATTCCAAAAATAACTTCTCGTTTTTGTGCTTTAAATGAGTGAATTTTGTTGCTCAGATTATGTGCCCATACCTTAAAATACTCACCGTTGCGTTCGTGGGGATAAACGCTGACAATCGTGAGGTCTCTATGGCAGAAAGGGACACTGATGCTCCATTCCAACACTTGAACTCATCTGAACCTATTCTTCATAGATACGCTGCAGTTTTTATCAACCTTGTGAGTAGTTTCTTTCATGAAAATATACTGCGATATCTCGGGTATCGTACTAACTGAAACATGAGGAGGTCTGTGTGCAGCACATTCAGTTGTAGAACATCATAAACGAGAGATTCAGTTGAGTCCCTCGTGAAAACCAAACTGATTTGCAAACGAGTGTAGTTCTCGAAGAGAAGCTCGTTACCGCTTCTCTGCAAGCAAGCGTTAGATGCGCCCGAATTGTCGTTTCCAAACAAGCGAACTTGCTCTTGCTCCAGTGATGGGATTGGTTGGCTTGACGTCTCCCAACTGAACAGATTATCGCTGAGCCTAGGTTGGATGACCCCCAGGTGGGTGGCCATTCCGATAGCAAAGGATCCGGCCGGACAGGCAAGATGGGTTGAAGAATGATCCCGTCACGCAGACAGTTGCACACACACAGTGAACGTCAGAACAGCGAAATTGCCTTAGGGCCCAAGCCACATTGTCTGCCAATCAAATTATAGCAATTGCGCAAATCCATAGAATAGAAGCAAACCAGTGAATAGGCTAAGCGCAATATCAAGGGGGTGGGATAGTTTACAAACAAAAGTGGGAGGAACAAGTACTGTCGTAAAGGGAAACAATTTCAACTGGCCGCGTGAAAGTCCAGCATGATTCTACTGGCATGAACCACCCAATTCCGCACTGATAATGTCTCCCTGACTGGTGGCGAGAAGTTTCCAATCCAGTTGTTACACTTGGTGAACAAACCAACAACCAAATTGTAGCATATAGGATCAAATAGTAAGCCCACGTGAAGGATGCAGATGGGCAACAACCGAGCCCTTCATGACATTGTGTATTAAAACTAGTGAAAATAATTAGTGCCACCTGACCCTGAATTAAGTCTCTCACGGAAAGTACAATTTTTGCCGTTTGTTGGGGAAGTTGATAGTAGCTATTTCCGTAATTCAAATATATGGAAGAAGGGAAGAGACACGTTTGCTCAAGACGTTTTGTGCAAATTCGAACCCAAAATTTTGTCAACTATGCGAGTTGTCTCACTAAGTAGTGCTTCATCAGTTGCATCTTTTTTTAACGCCTTATTTACTAACTTTTCCCCAATACAATTTTCGCTGTCGAGGCTAAAACGTTCCACTTCAGACAATACATTCACTCCCAAATTCTAATACATGCCACACACATGTAAGGAATGTTCACCAATAGACGAAGGACATTTAGAACCAATCAACAATCAACACGAAAAAGTCTCTCAACCATAGAGTGACTAACAATTGTGTACGTTAGTTACAATACAACACTGCTTAGTTGGACACACTGTTACGATCTACGGCGATTGCGAAGATGCCCCAGACTGAAAAGAGGAGGAAAGCAGCGTCCGTCTACACAAAAAATGAGTTGCAGTCGTTGAGGCAATTGACGATACATACGCAAAATACTTTGTATCAGGACAACAGGATGAACTTGTTCATGGACAAATCTGTATGGACTGAAGTAGCTAACCACATGCACGCAATGGGTCATCCCAGACGGTCTTGGCTCAGTTTGAGGATGAAGGGATTGCAATTGCTCTCGGAAGCTTCAGCCTATTATTCGCATATAACTGAAAATCTCTGCGGCTTAAAGATGCTCTCCGGGTCAGGCCGACCGGTTCCACAGAATAAGCTTCTGCTGCATCCTCTGAGGGAACAGGCTGATCGGGTGTCAATGTGGGATTGTCAGCCGCCTCCGCTCATTCCGTCCTCAGAAGCATGTGCAAAGTCATTGTTGGCTTCGGTCACCGGTGCATGTCCTCCTCGTATGCAACCCTGTGGAGCCCCGATTAAGTATGATTCACATCATTCTCATGTGAAAATGGGTGAAACTAACACACCCGCATACATCAGTAGCCCTGCTTTGGCACAGTCAGTCCAGGTTCTCCCTACAGTCACTGAACTGACTGGCACGGATAATCGGATTTCCAAATCACAAAATGCAACCCTGTTTGAACTGTTACGTCTCCCTGATTCAGACGATCCTTACCACATAGACTTATCCATTTCACATGATGAAGACGATAAATGGACAGACGTCGGAAGGAGTTCTCACGAACCTGCAACCCCCGTGTCGCTCACACCGCCATGCACAAGATTTGGGTATGTTCTTTTTTAGCACATGTTTAATTTTGTATGGTTTCGCTGCTCTTCAAGATACATTTAATTAATCCTGGTTCATTAGAGCAAATCGCGCTCACATATAATGTGTGAATTTTTGTCGTCCTTCAGTTTACGAGTGAAACAGACGGTCTTGGAAACAGAGATCAAGCAGGATATCCTAATATATTTCACTCAGTTGTAAGATTTTGGACATTTTTCTGCATTTTGAAGTGAATACAGAGTAGCAACTGTTACGGGTGAAAGAAAGAAAGCCTCCGCTGCGGAGTTGTTTATTAGAGAAACATGAACTGAACAATTACAGACCATTGGACAGGGGAGCAAAACTCGCATTTGCATCTTGTTTACAAAACTGAATATCCATCTTCTCCTTGAACGCGTCTTCCTGAACTTTCCTGGATATTCATTGACTATCACTCAAATGCAAGCAAATGCTACAAAGCGACTCCACAAATTCCGTGATAAATCTCACTTTTCAAGAGACGTGAAGCGAAGACACTACTCACATGCCTCATCAGTAGTAGCCATAGTTACACAGGTATCTAGGCTGTCAAAGAGCTTTCTGCCAAGTAAAAATACTGCGATTTCCAGTCGAAACGCGGGGCGGCCTTCATGCAGAACACACAGATGAGAAGAACTGTGATCAGGAGAGCTGGTTGGGTCTCTTGATAAGAGCAATATAAGTTGCAAATGAATCTATTCCACCGCTCATCTTATGCTTCCCTACCTGTCGTTTTAAGCTACTGAGAAGGCGGCCAAATTTTGTGTTCACACGACAATAACACAAAAAGATTTGCCTTCTCACTTTTTTCGGCTCCTAAACAAGCTGTTTGGTTCATCAAAGCCTGTGGTCTGACAAGCATCCGCAAAAAAATGTGCACTCATGTTCGTAGATAAAGTAGCAACTGAAATGAACGCTCAATGGAGCGACAACGACAAAGTGATCCGGTTGTTGAATTTCAGGACAAATGTTTTGAGAGCTAGCACACCTATGTACCAGGTGTCTCAGAACCGCATGAACAGAAAGCTGAAAGTGTTATATCGTCGCGCACACGTGCTTGGTGAATTTTCTTAGATTCCAAGCACTCGTTTCAAGACTTGAGTCATTTTCAAGTCGTTTTTATCTTCGAATTTCCAGGCATCATGATAGAAACTCCGACTGTTAGAGACAGTGGCAAACGTATCCTCGTTTAGCGTTCACTTGCGAACCTTATGTTTGTATAGTATATTTATAAACACGGCTTTTTGAACACAATTCAGAGGAGAATCTCAGTCGCGTTTTTTTATGAACTCTTCTTTGGGATTTCAAAGATCGAGATTATTGATTTTGAAATCTCAAAACAGTTTGATTGACTTGGAGAGCTCCAAATTGGACATCCTATGGTCTCTGAACCATTAGAAACGACAGGTATCCTGGCTACACGATGCCATGCATAGGCAATTCCGTGTTCATCAAGTAAGACAGTTCTATCAACTACCGATTAATTCTGGCAAGAAAGTGACCACTAAGGCTGTTAGGCTCAAACAGACTTCCAACCTTGGTGTGGTTTGTCACACTGCCCGGCTGTCACCTTTTTCCTATTGAGTTACTTTCTCTTGATATCCGATATTCATAATCCACGCAGACTGCCTTCCGTCGCATCGACCACACAAGTCGGTGATTTCATAAGTGTAACACACTGGTGCGCACTGAGATCATGCGTCTCGTTTGTTCTGGTCCTCAGTCCCCACTACTGTATCCTAGTTATTTGTGGTCTGGCCTCGAGTGATGGATCCAACAAAATGCCGGTGAATGTCAGCCAATTAATATAATGACAGGTGATAACAAGATCCCTCTCCCCGTCAACCATGATAGTGGGGTTACGAAAAACCACTTTAATGTGGGCTGGTGACTGAACGGCTTTTATGCAAAAACCGTGACCGGAAAGCCTAGTACAAGCTAAGAGATTGTTGATTTCTAATTGGATGAAAATCTCCCACGAAAGCGGATTCACGCACAAATCAAAATGGATTTGACGCTGACGAAGAAAGTCATCAGTAGCTTTTACTGAATTCCGAAGTGATAGTTACTGCATTTCACGAAAAACCTAGGTGAGATCATCGTTTCAGAGGGATTTGGTAAACAATCGGTGGATTTATTGCGGGGCAACGTTTCGCTTTTGACACAAAAGCTTCGTCAGGCCAAGTGAGTAAGTAAGTAGGTTGATTGGGTTTTAAGGCAGTCAGGGGACCAATCCGTGAGATTCCTCCTTATGACTAGTGACGTGATCAGTGCTGGGTGTTCAGCCTGATGTCCCTGTTTGTTGATTAGTCGGGATGACTAAGCTTTACGATAGATCGGTTAGGGGGGGTTCGTCTTTATGATGAACCCGGATTTTTTCGTCCCTGCTTCTTCAGTCTAGGACACCTTAATGGAAAATTCCTCTTGGGGTCGTTCACAGATTTCGTTCACCTGTGTTCGTCCAAGGGTGCTGGGACAATTAGTTTGGGGATGGGGGTGGGGTGGTTAATTGGATCTAACACTACTTGGATTTTTGTACTTTTTAGACCCAGGCGATTTCGCTGATAACTGCACACCGCCTCGTGTCATCTCGCCTGATCTAAGACCACTCTCCACACGTTTGCAAGTTCTACCCCCTCTATTCTATTCACACTGGGATGGTCTTAGATCAGGCGAGATGACACGAGGCGGTGTGCAGTTATCAGCGAAATCGCCTGGGTCTAAAAAGTACAAAAATCCAAGTAGTGTTAGATCCAATTAACCACCCCACCCCCATCCCCAAACTAATTGTCCCAGCACCCTTGGACGAACACAGGTGAACGAAATCTGTGAACGACCCCAAGAGGAATTTTCCATTAAGGTGTCCTAGACTGAAGAAGCAGGGACGAAAAAATCCGGGTTCATCATAAAGACGAACCCCCCCTAACCGATCTATCGTAAAGCTTAGTCATCCCGACTAATCAACAAACAGGGACATCAGGCTGAACACCCAGCACTGATCACGTCACTAGTCATAAGGAGGAATCTCACGGATTGGTCCCCTGACTGCCTTAAAACCCAATCAACCTACTTACTTACTCACTTGGCCTGACGAAGCTTTTGTGTCAAAAGCGAAACGTTGCCCCGCAATAAATCCACCGATTGTTTACCAAATCCCTCTGAAACGATGACTTCCCAATAGGTCCCAAACATTTTCCAACTAGGTGAGATCAGTTTAAAGCAATACTGTCTGCATTATAAATTGTATACATCTAAAATGTGGTTAGTAATTCAAAGCTTTGGTAGCTCTGGTGAGCCAGTTGGTTGTAGACCGATTGGCTGAGCCTGGCACCAAACCCCGTGCTGATGATATCCTGACGATTCTGGGGACGAAACGTTTGAAATCAAGCTGCTAAACTCGATGAACAGATCAATGTCCACCTGGCCTACACCCAACATCTAAACTATCTCTGTTTATGCATATATACATATGGGTATTTCACTCATAAATATGGTAAAACTCATCGTCATTTTAACGTCACCTTTGCCTATCGCCACTTTTTGAACACCGAAACGGGATGTCAACCGGCGTGAGCGAAAAGTCTCAAAGGCCTGAACAAAGTCATTAAGCACTGCGACTGTAGATATACACGTCCGGATGAGTTCCAACGGGTTTATTTTTGGGTGAATCTGGAACGCTTTAGTTGGTCCCCGTTGTTCTTGTCCAGAAGAGAGGTTGCGTTAGTCACTAAGCTTACTTCCAGCAGCCTTCAAGAGTCTGTGGCGGTAGCTGACTGGGAAGGCCTGACCGGACTGATAGACAAAACAGTTACTGGTTTGTCGTTTGACATGTTGAAGCGGCCAATCACATCGGTCAAAATTTGCCCGTCCAGCGCGTGCTGATGCGGTAATGATAACATGTCCCCCTCGCATATCAGATGTCCAGGGTTCGAATCCAGGAACAGCTGAGAATGGTGATGAGCTCTAATAAGAACGAAACTCGACTACATTGCTTTCCTTCTAGAATGACTACACCAGAGCAGGTGGATAACTGCTCTAACGAATGTGACGAAGAGACCTAATCTATAAAACATTGAATCAGTGTGTGACCGCACAGGTCCACATAAACGATAAGACTAACCACAACGCTTGTGGGAAAGAAAGATCAAACAGAAACAAAGGTGATTTGAGAGGAAGGTGGATACAGCAGCAGAACTCACCAACCATCCGCATGCTGGTTTATTGAATTGTCCTCAGAATCCACACAGGATTTACATGATATAACGATGAAGTTGCTTCACGTGGTGCGCAAACCGAGATTTCAATCTCAACCTCGAAACAAGGTTTATCATCGTAACCTAAGACAGAAAAATTTATAAAACTGCAAAAAAAACTCGAGAAATGGTTTACGAATTTTTTCATCAGGATGCATACCAAGTCATCTTAAATGTCTTATCAAGGAATCTTGCGGGGAATACTGGGTGCCCCAGAATGGGGCACTATACATACACATGCAGAGGCGAATACAGAATTGGGATGGGTTATCTAAACTCTATGACCTCTACCCAATGCCGGAGCTTGTAGTGAGCTGGTGGCAAATTTCAATCAATCTTACCCAAACCCGATTTTCACCGGATCACAAGCGTATGCCGCCTCGTAATTTAGTCGTAGGTTATCCCACTTCGATTCCAACGCAGCCTGAGAACGCCAACATTGTGCTCGGTTGCCGATCTTCCAATCTGTAAGTTTCGTTTTCGCAGGACTGTTCTAATGCCTCTGTCGCACATATCATTACACGGAAGGCTACAGACGTGATCTCTTCTCGGGACTGTGGATATGTGACAGGCAGCATGGTCATGAGCTTAATCCTTCCGTCTGTTGGACTGAAGGACAGCTTCTTGAGAAGCACAACAGTATGACTGAGCCTAGCAATCAGGCGTGCACGCTATATCCGGCCGTCTAAGACGGGCGCAGGAGACAGAAGGGTTGCTTGAACGAGCGT